AAGACAGCTACTATTATTACTACAGTTATTACAATATGACTGGGGAAGATACATGCATAAAACTTAATGTTTAAAGTATTTCACAAGTAGGATAAAGCATATTGGAGAATATGCATTTTCTCCTTTAAAAATGAATATTACATATTTAAAAATTCATAAATTGGATACCAGATAATGGACTTAACATTACTTATTGATACATCTTCATAAGTGATCTAATCTCTAGCTGTTTTAGAACTATAATTAATGTGACTCCTTTCTTCATTTTTTACAGCAAAGTATACATCAGTTGAATCACTTTATAAAAAAGAAAAGTAAAATAAAAGAATTCACCTACCCCTGCAGTTGTTGCTGTTGGTGAGAGGAAAAGGGCACTCTTGGTTTGTTCCAACCAGTGTAATCCTGGTTACACCTCAGTTTTTTAACAGAAAGAGGAGCTGGCTGAGGAAGAAATCCCAAACTTCTTTTGGCAGAGGGAGTCTGGCTTGAAACATTACTCCTATAAAAAAAAAAGAATAATGAAGAAGTAACATAGGCTCGGTGCCTGTGGCTCTAGTGGCTAAGGCGCCAGCCACATACACCTAAGGTGGCGGGTTCAAAAATCCAGCCCAGGCCCGCCAAACAACAATGATGGCTGCAACCAAAAAATAGCCAGGCGTTGTAGCGGGTGTCTGTGGTCCCAGCTACTTGGGAGGCGGAGGCAGGAGACTCACTTGAGCCCAGGCATTGAAAGTTGCTGTGAGCTATGATGCCACAGCACTCTACCCAGAGGGACAGCTTGAGACTCTGTCGCAAAAAAAAAAAAAAAAAAAAAAAAGGAGTAACATAAACCTCTGTGGGTTTTTTGTTTGTTTTCAGACAGAGTCTCATTATGTCACCTTCTGTATAGTGCTGTAACATCACAGCTTATAGCAACCTCAAACGCTTGGGCCTAAGCAATTCTCTTGCCTTAGCCTCCCAAGTAGCTAGGACTGTAGGTGCCCGCCACAACACCTGGCTATTTTTTTGTTGTTGTTGCTGTTGTCATTGTTGTTTAGCAGGTTCAGGCTGGGTTCAAACCCACCAGCCCTGGTATATGTGGTTAGTGCCCTAACCACTGAAGTATGGACGCTGAGCCCCAAATAAACCTTTGAATGCTACTTCCTCCCCTCCTCCCATACATTCAGAGAAGTTAATGTCTAAGAAAAAAAATCTTAAACTTAGGGAAATATCAGTAATAATGATAACTTAAGAGGAAAATCCTCCAAAGGTAAATTAGCATGTCAGCTGATAGCTGAACAAGTTTATAATATTGTATATCTTTAATCTACAATCAGAATAGTCCAAGCTAATAGCTTCAGAAAAACTATATAGTTTCACTTTTTTATTCATTTTTATCCACTTTATGGATATTACATTGGTTTACCTAGTCTTAAATAGATTTATAGTAATCTTTCCCCTATTACAAATAATACAACATTCTTCCCTAATCTCCTTGAGAAATTCCTTTAATGTTTAGAAGTAGAAATGTTAAGGGTATTTTCAATTTTCATTTTTAATTTTTCTAGACATGTGATTGTTTTCCCCAAAAGCTACTATTAGTAAATTTCCATTTCCTCATTTGTCTACATTACCAATTATTATCAGAAATTTCCACTTTTACCAATATAGGGACACTTATCTGGATGTTATTTTATTTTGCATTATCCTGGTTACCACAGAAGTTGAACATATGAAAAGAATTATTTCCTCTGATATTTTTACTACATCCTTAGTTTTATAACTGGGTTCCTAATGATTCATACTTCCTTATATATTCTATATACTAACCCTCTGTCTAATTACATATTTTAAGTTTTAAATTTTTATGTAGTCAAATTTATCAATATTTTCTTACTTTGGTTTTTATATTTTGTTTAAGATATCATCCTTGGCAGTGCCTATGGCTCAAGGAGTAGGGTGATGGCCCCATATACTGGAGGTGGCAGGTTCAAACCCAGCCCTGGCCAAAAAAAAAGAGAAATCATCTTTCGTTGGCTCAGCACCTATAGCACAGTGGTTACGCATACACCCAAACCCAGCCTGGGCCAACTAAACAACTGCAACAACAACAACAAAAAAAAAATAGCCAGGCATTGTGGCAGGTGCCTATAGTCCCAGCTACTTGGGAGCCTGAGGCAAGAAAAGTGCATAAGGCCAAGAGTTGGAGGTTGCTGTGAGCTGTGCCACCACAGTACTCTACCCAGGGCAACACAGTGAGACTCTTAAAAAAAAAAAAA